CTGGGGAGCTGGGAGGAAGTGACGTTGCATGCAGAACAGCTTGCACAGCACCTCATTGGATGGATACTTCTTCATGGATTGACTGTACTTTGCAGGAAAAAAATGGATATGGAGCGAGCGCCAAAAACCAACTAGCAGCTGTCAGGGATCCCCGCGGCGCTGGTCCCGGCACAGGCGCAGTGCGCCACCCCGTGCAGGGACGCGGGCACTAGGTCCTGGCTGGCCGCGGCGTCCGGGTTCGCGTATGCGCAGTAGGAGCCGCGGGCGCGCGCTTGACACCAATGACAGCGCAGGGTGCGATATTTAAACGGCCCTGAGCTGTCATTCAGTGCCTTCTGGTCTTTCCTGTATTCCTGTATCTGCGAACCTGTGTATTGTAAGTTGCTGACCCGGTGTAAGGGACCACCAGGCGGTACCACTAGCACTCCACTGGCCAGACGTCCCCAGCGCATGGTATCTAAGCCCCAGGGTACGTGTTCTCCAGAGCCCCTGATGGTGGGGATGGACTTGAAGTACCCCGAGACCAGGTCGTGGCTACTGAGCACGCCTGTCAGTGGTAGCGGTATTCGCCAGGGGCTCCCGCAGGGAAGAGCCTGATGTGAGGAGGTCGGGTGATCCCGTCGGGATGGATGGATGGCTGAGCAAGTGCAGGGTCAAACGGGCCGGGTCGGTAACAGTGGGAACGGAGCAGTACAAGGCAGCGGGCAGAGAGTAGTCGGGTCACACGCCAGGTCAGCAACGGAAGGTCAGATCCAAACGGGGGCATTCAGGAGAGAGGTCAGGCAAAGCAAGGGTCTGGGCAGGAGCAGGCAACAAGGTCAGGTACAATCCGGGTCAGTAACTTACTTAGAACAGGTTCGCAGATACAGGATACAAGGAAAGACCAGAAGGCACTGAATGACAGCTCAGGGCCATTTAAATATCCCGCCCTGCGCTGCCATTGGTGCCACGCGCGCGCGCCTGCGGTCCCTACTGCGCATGCGCGAACTCCCTCGCTGCGGCCGGCCAGGTCTCAGTGCCCACATTTTGACACAGGGCGGTGCACTGCGCCTGCGCCGAGCCCATCGCGGCGGGGATCCCTGGCACCCGGATTGTACCTGACCACGCTGTATTCTCCTGCTCTGACCCTTGGCTTGCCTGACCTCTCTCCTGGATGCCCCTTATTAGATCTGACATTCTGTTGCTGACCTGGCAAGTGACCCGACTATTCTCTGCTCGCTGCTTCGTACCGCACCCGTCCCCACGGCTACCGACCCGGCTTGTCTGACATCGCACCTGCTCAGCCATCCATCCATCCCATCGGGATCACCCGACCTCCTCATATCAGGCTCTCCCCCGTGGGAGCCCCTGGCGATTATTCCTACCACTGACAGGTTTACTCAGTAGCCACAACCTGGTCTCAGGATACTCCAAGTCCATCCCCACCATCAGGGGCCCTGGTGAACAAGTACTCTGGGGCTTAGATTCCGTGCTCTGGGGACACCTGATCAGTGGGGTGCTAGTGGTAGCGCCAGGCGGTCCCTTACAGTACCAGAAGGCCATGACTGAGCCTAGAGGAGGGCCCTCCCCGTTGGAAGACATTTGCAGGCACTTGTCGGCCCTGACACAGGCCGTGGCGGCTAGAGATGAGCGAAGTATTCAAAAATTCAATTCGACTGATTCGGCGAATTCGTGGAAAAATTTTTGATTCGAGTCGAATATATTCGCTGCGAATTTAACTTATAAAAGGGTGTTTCTAGGCTTCAGAGAGCCTTTATATTAGTGCAGAACACTGTACCTTTAATTTAAATGCCCTTGGAGTCTGCTGGGGAAGAGAAATAATACTGACAGTCAGTATGATATGCAGATGAGTGCCGTCGATCTTAGAATCACCGCACACTTCACTCATTTGGGCAGTCACGGGGCCAAAACCAGAGTGTGGAGCCACAGTGTGGCGGTGGAGGCAGCAGCAATGGGAGGCCATACAGCACCCTATGACAAAAATGGAAACCACCAGCAGTGTGAGGAGACCTGAAAGTGGCACATGGCAGAGTGTGGCGATGGAGACAGCAGCAATGGGAGGCCGTACAGGGACCCATGACACACTCTGGACCTGGCAGCAGCATGAGGAGGCGGTACAGGGGCCCATGACAGATTACGGGCCTGGCAGCAGCATGAGGAGTCGGTACGGGGGCCCATGACACACTCTGGACCTGGCAGCAGCATGAGGAGGCGGTACAGGGGCGCATGACAGATTACGAGCCTGGCAGCAGCAACTTGGACAGGAGGACGTTCAGCTTCTGCACCGTCGGGTGCGTGCTCGCAAACTGTTGTCTCTTGGAAACGGATTCCAAGAAAGACTGCTGACGGAATCCGTGAAGAGGAGTAGCAGGAGAAGGAGCATCTGAACGAGCGGAATATGCCAACAAGCGACAACAGGGGCCCATGACAGATTACGGGCTGGCCTGGCAGCAGCATGAGGAGTCGGTACGGGGGCCCATGGCAGATTAGGGGCCTGGCAGCAGCTATGGGAGGCCCGTAATCTGCCAGCACCCTATGACAAAAAATGGAACACACCAGCAGTGTGAGGAGACCTGAAAGTGGCACATGGCAGAGTGTGGCGATGGAGACAGCAGCAATGGGAGGCCGTACAGGGACCCATGAGAGACTCTGGACCTGGCAGCAGCATGAGGAGGCGGTATAGGGGCCCATGGCAGATTAGGGGCCTGGCAGCAGCTATGGGAGGCCCGTAATCTGCCAGCACCCTATGACAAAAAATGGAACACACCAGCAGTGTGAGGAGACCTGAAAGTGGCACATGGCAGAGTGTGGCGATGGAGACAGCAGCAATGGGAGGCCGTACAGGGACCCATGAGAGACTCTGGACTTGGCAGCAGCATGAGGAGGCGGTATAGGGGCCCATGGCAGATTAGGGGCCTGGCAGCAGCTATGGGAGGCCCGTAATCTGCCAGCACCCTATGACAAAAAATGGAACACACCAGCAGTGTGAGGAGACCTGAAAGTGGCACATGTTTGGGGCATGATTCATGGCGGATTTAGTCAGTTGTGTCAGGAACTGGTGGTTTGAAATCCAGACTAATCCACGCCTGATTCATTTTCACAAACGTGAGTCTCTCCACACTTTGGGTGGACAGTCGTGTCCTCCGCGGAGTTACAATACCTCCTGCCGCACTAAACACGCGCTCCGATGCCACGCTACTGGCCGGGCATGACAGCCTTTCAAGGGCAAATTCAGCTAGTTGGGGCCAAAGGTCAAGTTTCGTTGCCCAGTAGTCAAGGGGATTGTCTACCTCGGTTGGCAGGGTGCTGTCCAAGTAGGCCTAAGCCTGTTGTTTGAGGTCCTGCTCCAGGTCCACCTGATGCTGCTGCTGCTGCTGCGGCTGGTTAGTAGTTTCCTCACTGCGCTGGTGAAGAAAGCTACTCATCATCGACTGCAGACTGAGGCAGCTGCTGCTGGTGGAGCTGCCACTGCTCCTACCACCCCCCCCCTCCCCTGCTGCCATGGCAGCGGAACGCGAGCGCACAGGGCCCACAGTGTCTGAGGATGGACGTTGGCGCAGAAAGGCAGAGACCAGCTGACTACATAGGTGGTTTTTATAGTACGTTATTTTGGCCTCCCTCTCAGCAGGTGTGAAAAAGGCCACCATTTTTGAACGGTAGCGAGGGTCCAACAAGGTGGACAGCCAAAAGTCATCCCTCTGTCTGATGGTTATTATTCGGCTGTCGCTACGCAAGCAAGCGAGCATGCTATGGGCATTTGTGCCAAGGAATGCGAGGGACTCCCTGCCTCCATCTCCACAGCATACTGCCACGGTGCGTCTGGGTCCTCTGTCTCCTCCTCCTCCTCCTCTACCAGATGCTCCTGCTCCTCCACTCCTGTCCGCTGAGTGGAAAAACCACCCATTTCACTCAATAATTCCTGAGCACCAATGTCCTCCTCTACCTCCTCCTCTTCTTCCTGTCCTGCCCCCCCCAGGGGTCATGTGGCGTTGAGATCTGTGCGCCACGTCTACCGCACCCTGACCAGCCATTGTTAACAGCATTTGTTCCAGGACGTGCAACAGAGGAATGACGTCGTTCATCCCATAGTCCTGCCGACTCACGAATAGCGTGGCCTCCTCAAAGGGCCTGAGCAAGCGCAGGTGTCACGCATGAGCTGCCAATGGCTGACATCTAAGTTACACAGGGAGTACCTTTATCCGCTTTTAACATCAGGAAATCTGTGATGGCCTTTCGCTGTTCGTAAAGGCGGTCTAACATATGTAGGGTTGAATTCCACCTTGTTGCAACGTCACAGCATGAGGAGTCGGTACGGGGGCCCATGGCAGATTACGGGCCTGGCAGCAGCAATGGGAGGCCCGTAATCTGCCAGCACCCTATGACAAAAAATGTAACACACCAGCAGTGTGAGGAGATCTGAAAGTGGCACATGGCAGAGTGTGGCGATGGAGACAGCAGCAATGGAGGCCGTACAGGGACCCATGAGAGACTCTGGACCTGGCAGCAGCATGAGGAGGCGGTATAGGGGCCCATGGCAGATTAGGGGCCTGGCAGCAGCTATGGGAGGCCCGTAATCTGCCAGCACCCTATGACAAAAAATGGAACACACCAGCAGTGTGAGGAGACCTGAAAGTGGCACATGGCAGAGTGTGGCGATGGAGACAGCAGCAATGGGAGGCCGTACAGGGACCCATGAGAGACTCTGGACCTGGCAGCAGCATGAGGAGGCGGTATAGGGGCCCATGGCAGATTAGGGGCCTGGCAGCAGCTATAGGAGGCCCGTAATCTGCCAGCACCCTATGACAAAAAATGGAACACACCAGCAGTGTGAGGACACCTGAAAGTGGCACATGCAGTGTGGCGATGGAGACCTGAAAGTGGCACAGGCCCATGAGACACTGTGGACCTGGCAGCAGCATGAGGAGGCGTACAGGGGCCCATGGCAGATTAGGGGCCTGGCAGCAGCTATGGGAGGCCCGTAATCTGCCAGCACCCTATGACAAAAAATGGAACACACCAGCAGTGTGAGGAGACCTGAAAGTGGCACATGGCAGAGTGTGGCGATGGAGACAGCAGCAATGGGAGGCCGTACAGGGACCCATGAGAGACTCTGGACCTGGCAGCAGCATGAGGAGGCGGTATAGGGGCCCATGGCAGATTAGGGGCCTGGCAGCAGCTATGGGAGGCCCGTAATCTGCCAGCACCCTATGACAAAAAATGGAACACACCAGCAGTGTGAGGAGACCTGAAAGTGGCACATGGCAGAGTGGGCGATGGAGACAGCAGCAATGGGAGGCCGGCACAGGGACCCATGAGAGACTCTGGACCTGGCAGCAGCATGAGGAGGCGGTACAGGGGCCCATGGCAGATTAGGGGCCTGGCAGCAGCTATGGGAGGCCCGTAATCTGCCAGCACCCTATGACAAAAAATGGAACACACCAGCAGTGTGTGAGGAGACCTGAAAGTGGCACATGGCATGAGACAGCAGCAATGTGGACCTGGCAGCAGCATGAGGAGGCGGGTACAGGGGCCCATGGCAGATTAGGGGCCTGGCAGCAGCTATGGGAGGCCCGTAATCTGCCAGCACCCTATGTCAAAAAATTTAACACACCAGCAGTGTGTGAGGAGACCTGAAAGTGGCACATGGCAGAGTGTGGCGATGGAGACAGCAGCAATGGGAGGCCGTACAGGGACCCATGAGACACTCTGGACCTGGCAGCAGCATGAGGAGGCGGTATAGGGGCCCATGGCAGATTAGGGGCCTGGCAGCAGCTATGGGAGGCCCGTAATCTGCCAGCACCCTATGTCAAAAAATTGAACACACCAGCAGTGTGTGAGGAGACCTGAAAGTGGCACATGGCAGAGTGTGGCGATGGAGACAGCAGCAATGGGAGGCCGTACAGGGACCCATGAGAGACTCTGGACTGGCAGCAGCAGCATGAGGAGGCGGTATAGGGGCCCATGGCAGATTAGGGGCCTGGCAGCAGCTATGGGAGGCCCGTAATCTGCCAGCACCCTATGTCAAAAAATTGAACACACCAGCAGTGTGAGGAGACCTGAAAGTGGCACATGTGGCATGAGACACTGTGGACCTGGCAGCAGCATGAGGAGGCGGTACAGGGGCCCATGGCAGATTAGGGGCCTGGCAGCAGCTATGGGAGGCCCGTAATCTGCCAGCACCCTATGACAAAAAATGTAACACACCAGCAGTGTGTGAGGAGACCTGAAAGTGGCACATGGCAGAGTGTGGCGATGGAGACAACCCACCGACTGTTTTGCTCGCTGCCAAGCTGCCACCCTCTTCTCCTGATGATGCGGAAGCAATAGCCTGATGACGACGAGGCTGCCAAGTGCGATCAGCCTCATCATCATCAATTAGGGTCTCCGCCTCACTACTAGCCCCCTCGGCTGCGTGTGGGTCAGAGACAGACCTGTCTCTAGACCGGCTAGCTACCGAGCCACTCTCCTCGCCACTACTTCTTCGCCTGGCTGCTGAAGAGGCGGATGTCTCCCCCCGTTCCTGACCGCCCTCTGTTAACTCTTCCTCACTGTATGGATGACACCGGGAGCACTGGCCTCTGGCTGCGAATAGTGCTGCCTCGACCCCTTCCTCTGCTGCCACGTCTGCTCGCTCCTAAAACAATTCTGCCTCCTCTGCCACTAACTCTGCAATGTTGTCTGACATACTCTGTTAATTAAACGATTCTGTGTCCCTGAGTAACAATTCTGTGTCTGTCCCTGAGTAACAATTCTGTGTCCCCTGAGTAACGTTTCTGTGGCCCTAAGTAACAGTTCTGTGGCCCTCAGTAACAATTCTGTGTCCCTCAGTAACAATTCTGTGTCCCTCAGTAACAATTCTGTGTCTGTCCCTGAGTAACAATTCTGTGTCCCTCAGTAACAATTCTGTGTCCCTCAGTAACAATTCTGTGTCCCTCAGTAACAATTCTGTGTCTGTCCCTGAGTAAGAATTCTGTGTCTGTCCCTGATAACAATTCTGTGTCCCTGAGTAACGTTTTCTGTGGCCCTAAGTAACAGTTCTGTGGCCCTCAGTAACAATTCTGTGTCCCTCAGTAACAATTCTGTGTCCCTCAGTAACAATTCTGTGTCCCTGTCCCTGAGTAACAATTCTGTGTCTGTCCCTGAGTAACAATTCTGTGTCCCTGAGTAACAATTTCTGTGGCCCTAAGTAACAGTTCTGTGGCCCTCAGTAACAATTCTGTGTCCCCTCAGTAACAATTCTGTGTCTGTCCCTGAGTAACAATTCTGTGTCTGTCCCTGAGTAACAATTCTGTGTCCCTCAGTAACAATTCTGTGTCTGTCCCTCAGTAACAATTCTGTGTCCCTCAGTAAACAATTCTGTGTCTGTCCCCCTGAGTAACAATTCTGTGTCCCTGAGTAACAATTCTGTGTCCCTCAGTAACAATTCTGTGTCCCTCAGTAACAATTCTGTGTCCCTCAGTAACAATTCTGTGTCTGTCCCTGAGTAACAATTCTGTGTCTGTCCCTGAGTAACAATTCTGTGTCCCCTAAGTAACGTTTTCTGTGGCCCTAAGTAACGTTTCTGTGGCCCTAAGTAACGATTCTGTGGCCCTAAGTAACGTTTCTGTGGCCCTAAGTAACAATTCTGTGGCCCTAAGTAACGTTTCTGTGGCCCTAAGTAACGGTTCTGTGTCCCTCAGTAACAATTCTGTGGCCCTCAGTAACAATTTTGTGTCTGTCCCTGAGTAACAATTCTGTGGCCCTAAGTAACGTTTCTGTGGCCCTAAGTAACGTTTCTGTGGCCCAGTAACAATTCTGTGTCCCTCAGTAACAATTCTGTGTCTGTCCCTAAGTAACAATTCTGTGTCCCTAAGTAACGTTTCTGTGGCCCTAAGTAACGTTTCTGTGGCCCTAAGTAACGATTCTGTGGCCCTAAGTAACGATTCTGTGGCCCTAAGTAACAATTCTGTGCCCTAAGTAACGTTTCTGTGTAACCCTAAGTAACGTTTCTGTGGCCCTAAGTAACGGTTCTGTGGCCCTCAGTAACAATTCTGTGGCCCTCAGTAACAATTCTGTGTCTGTCCCTAAGTAACTTTCTGTGGCCCTAAGTAACAATTCTGTGGCCCTAAGTAACGTTTCTGTGGCCCTAAGTAACGTTCTGTGGCCCTAAGTAACGTTTCTGTGGCCCTCTGTGGCCCTAAGTAACAATTCTGTGGCCCTCAGTAACAAATTCTGTGTGTCCCTAAGTAACAATTCTGTGGCCCTAAGTAACGTTTCTGTGGCCCTAAGTAACAATTCTGTGGCCCTAAGTAACGTTTCTGTGGCCCTAAGTAACGGTTTCTGTGGCCCTCAGTAACAATTCTGTGTCCCTCAGTAACAATTCTGTGTCTGTCCCTAAGTAACAATTCTGTGGCCCTAAGTAACGTTTCTGTGGCCCTAAGTAACGATTCTGTGGCCCTAAGTAACGTTTCTGTGGCCCTAAGTAACGTTTCTGTGGCCCTAAGTAACGTTTCTGTGGCCCTCAGTAACAAATCTGTGTCCCTCAGTAACAATTCTCTGTCTGTCCCTAAGTAACAATTCTGTGCCCTAAGTAACGTTTCTGTGGCCCTAAGTAACGGTTCTGTGGCCCTCAGTAACAATTCTGTGTCCCTCAAACAATTCTGTGTCTGTCCCTAAGTAACAATTCTGTGGCCCTAAGTAACGTTTCTGTGGCCCTAAGTAACGTTTCTGTGGCCCTAAGTAACGATTCTGTGGCCCTCAGTAACAATTCTGTATCCCTCAGTAACAATTCTGTGTCTGTCCCTGAGTAACAATTCTGTGTCCCTAAGTAACGTTTCTGTGGCCCTAACGATTCTGTGGCCCTAAGTAACGTTTCTGTGGCCCTCAGTAACAAATCTGTGTCCCTCAGTAACAATTCTGTGTCTGTCCCTAAGTAACAATTCTGTGACCCTAAGTAACGGTTCTGTGGCCCTCAGTAACAATTCTGTGTAACAATTCTGTGTGTCCCTCAGTAACAATTCTGTGTCTGTCCCTAAGTAACAATTCTGTGGCCCTAAGTAACGTTTCTGTGGCTTAGTAACGTTTCTGTGGCCCTAAGTAACGATTCTGTGGCCCTCAGTAACAAATCTGTGTCCCTCAGTAACAATTCTGTGTCTGTCCCTAAGTAACAATTCTGTGGCCTAAGTAACGATTCTGTGGCCCTCAGTAACAAATCTGTGTCCCTCAGTAACAATTCTGTGTCTGTCCCTAAGTAACAATTCTGTGGCCGTAAGTAACGTTTCTGTGGCCCTAAGTAACGATTCTGTGGCCCTCAGTAACAATTCTGTATCCCTCAGTAACAATTCTGTCTGTCCCTGAGTAACAATTCTGTGTCCCTAAGTAACGTTTCTGTGGCCCTAACTAACGATTCTGTGGCCCTAAGTAACGTTTCTGTGGCCCTAAGTAACGTTTCTGTGGCCCTAAGTAACGATTCTGTGGCCCTAACTAACGTTTCTGTGTCCCTAAGTAACGTTTCTCTGTCCCTAACTCTCTCCCTGAATACAGCCAGGTCTGCCTCTGTTGAATGACTGGAGGCAAATGGAGAATTCTAAAATGACCGCCATTTATAGCTCGACCATTACACTGTGCTGGCTGGCTGGCTGCTGATTGGCTAATGCGATCACATGTCATGAATGAATGCATTATGGGTCAGCGCGCCTTGTCTGCGCGCCTTCCCAGACATCCCCGCTCCGTCGCCGCACATCCGAAGTCTGCTTATTTTCGGATTCGACGCGAATCGAAATTTTCCTAATATTCGAAATGAATTCCACTTCGCCTACTTCGATTTGCTCATCTCTAGTGGCGGCCTTACAGGACAAGTGCATGCATCTGGAGAACCGTTTCCAGACCCTCTCTGTATCTGACCCTACCCCACAGGCCCCTGTTTCTGCACCTCTGGCTGGAGAGGCTCCTGGACCAGCCAGGGGGGCTTCTGCGCCGCCCCCTATGGCGGAACCCCGAGTACCCTTACCGGAACGGTTTCGCGGAGACCGCACTCGCTTCCAGTCTTTTCGCAATTCGTGCCTCCTGTTTTTGACTTACAACCCCGCACCTTCGTGACCGAGTCGGTTAAAGTGGGATTCATAATCTCCTTATTACAGGACGAACCCCAGGACTGCGCCCATCGGTTAAGGGAAAACCATGACCCTCACCTTGAGACGGTGAATGACTTTTTTGAGGCTATGGCCATCCTATACGATGACCCATGGCGGGCAGCCTCCGCCGAAGCAACGTTATACGCGCTTAGACAGGGCCGCCGGGTGGCGGAGGAGTATGCCTCAGAATTTAGGCGTTGGATGGGGGACACAAGCTGGAACGAGGTCGCTCTGTGGCACCAGTTCCGTATGGGTCTTTCAGAATCCCTAAAAGATGAGCTGGCCCGAGTAGGAGTACCAGAGTCTCTAGAAGACCTTATTGCACTGACGATTCAAATTGACCGGAGACTGCGGGGAACGCAGATTTGAGAGGTCCGGTCAGGGCCGCGGAAATACATGGGCTCCAATCCAAGGCCCCGGTCAACTAACCAGACTGAATACCCAGAGCCCACCGCCCGGAGACGCTCAGGAACCGATGCAGTTGGGTCTGGCTCGGCCTAAATTATCGCCCGAGGAATGCCAGCGGAGAAGATCCCAGAACCTCTGCCTTTACTGCGGTGAAGACGGTCATATGGTGCGATCCTGCCCTCTGAAAATGAGTAAGTCAACCTCCTT